AGGGGCCACGGGCCGGTCTGAGGGGCCCCCCCTTGCCCCGAGTGCACAAATTTTTGTGCACCGGGCCTCTAGTCTATATACATAAAAGCCTAAGCGACCGGCTGATGGGCTAACTGTCCGGTAGCTATAATGCAACTGACCACCAGGGGGAAGATGCTCAATGCAGGAGCTGCTGAGTGACAGCAACTTTGCAGAGTGCCCTATCAAATTCCAAGACCCCTCAGGGGATGTCAGACTGCCGGTTTCGGCCTGATCCCCGCAGGCCAGGCCAAGGGATTCCACCAGGTCTCTAGTAATTCTATATTAGAAAAAGTGATTTGCCACTACAGGCTAGGGACAGAGGGAAGAAGTAGAAAACAGTATTTCTCTTAAAGTCTCCCACTGTCCAAGGACTATGGGAGAGGTTTTAGACTGCATTTGAGGGAATCCTGTAAGCAGTGACTTGAGTGTACCCTCTTTCAGAAACGGAGGCGCTGAATTTTGTGAAGTTAATTTGGCCACGGTCACACACACACTGGTCACTGTGTTAAGCGGCAGAGCTGGGATCTGACCCTCGTCCTGTGAGAAGCCAGGTCTAATCTTCACCACATCATGACTCCTAGCATTTAGCTTAAAACAACGACCAATGTTCACAGCAGCTAAACGTATCGAACGATCACTCACTCAAGGCGCAGAGCCAAGGCGGGAGCCGGCACGCACCTTCTGTCTGGGAAACCCTTTGTCTCGAGCTCCTTCTTAGCACAGGCCAGGCCCTTGGTGTCCACGCCTCACACCTCTGTGGACTCTGGAAGGTGACATGACCCCCGCACACCACACTCACACCAAGCACAGCTCGGGCCCACACTGCCACAAAACACAGGGTACTCATCCTAAGCACGGCAAACTCAGAACACGCTCCAACCAGTGCTAGCCATTCTGCCAGCAAGTGAGCTTGTGAAAACACACACCTTTTGGCTTTAAAGGTTTAAGGACTGTGGTTGTTGCAGGTAAGGGATTAAGACCTGTCATGTGATGGACACAGAACATGCACACTCCTGCCCCCACTCCAGTAGTGAAACTGATTTTCCAAGTCCTTCATTCAAGAGGAATACAAGTTTTGCACTAATACCTTAAAAGAGATGACCATTCCCTGAAAAAATACCTGAATCCATCCTCCCACGAAGGGATAACAGACAGTAGGAAAGACATGGGCAGAGGCGGCCACCACAGAGCAGGTTCCGGAAGCTTTGCAGACTGGCCAATGGAACGACGCAGTGCACTGTTCCGTCAGATGTCACCAACAATAATCAGAGGTGAGACTGTCACTGCGCCGGTTGGAGGAAAGTTGTTTGAGGCCATCAAGGCATAGAAGTCAAACCGCACAACTCTGTAGTGAGGGGACCTGAGGACAGGTGGAGGCAGAGCTGGGGGCTACCCTGCACCCCTCCTTAGCCGTGTGCTCTTCCAGCACTGGTATCCCCTGCAGCTACGGTGCTGGCTCTGTGGGGAAACAGGGCACACGTCCAGAACAGGCACCTCGGATGGCCTTGGGCTCCTTTACTGAATGTCCCGGGAATGGGTCACTGAAGTTGGAGCCTTCATTCCAGTTCTCACATGTGTGTCTGAGTTTCACCTTGGGATTTCCCACAAGGACAATCAAGGGGAATTATTCCCAATGGGAAGGTCTCTAAAGTAGCCGACGAGCTGTGGGTGTAAAGAAGAGACTCCTTTGGCACCCACACAACACGTGCCAGTGCGAGGCCAGTGGTCCCTGCAGCGTTGTGCTCAGGCCAAGTGCAGCAGCAGGAAGCATGGTGCTGCCACACTCAGCACCAGGGGAGGGAAGGCAGGCCTTCCCAGGGAGCGCTCACATCCTCCTCCGGCCCTGCCATCCAATTACTCCCGGAAACAATGGGTGGACCTCCACAGGCATTATTGTCATTTTTTACAGCCTCTTTGGAGAGTTTGCTAGGGAGTTACATTGTTTAAGATATAATTTTTAAAGGGTGGGTAGCTAGGTGTTTTTCACCATGGTTTTTAGTATGGAGACCTAACTCAAAAACCCCCCTAGCCACAAAGCCCTGGATTCATGCTTTACTGTGAAGGACTCTGGTACTCAGATAAACCATTTTTCCATGTGCTGATAATTTTCAAAAACAAAACTTTGGTCCTTCCTATAGCTATTCCTCAGGTAATTTTAAAAACAGTACTATTTGCCCTAGCTGGTGTGTGTCGGCCTGCATACCAGGGTTGCTGGTTTGATTCTGGGTCAAGGGCTTGTAGTTGAGTTGTAGGTCCGATCTCCATGTTTCTCCCCCCCCCGCCC